GATGATCGTGAAAAACGAATTTGTTGTACGATTTTGTGATTTAAATATTATCAATATTTATCCGTCCATATATAAAGAAAGCAAAGCCAGTTTCCGTTCTTAATGATAATCCAAACTTGTGCTTGTTATTTTCTTTTGAGAAATGAAAAAAACTTATATCTCATTTTTTGTGTTTTTTTTCTTTTTTGATTCTTGCAATATTGGTGCTCTCTAATGACACTTTACTTCTTTGTTTTTTTTTCTCTATGACGTGTTTTTGTTTTTTCTTTACTTTTTTTTTCTTCTTATATATACATGTATACTGTTTTGTAAGGGCTCTGCCCGGGCTATCATGTAAGCTGATATACAAAAAATAATGATTGCAACATTTCGAATAACAAAAAGAAAAAAAAATTTATTTACAAAAGAAAATGTACTCGTTTTCAGTTATTGTAAAGATTTAAAAGTTATTTTGAATATAATATAGCTTTAAATTCTTCATAAGAGACTTTTCCATCATGATCAAGACAATCAGCTTCTTCAATCATTTCTTTAACATCTTCCTAAAATAAATTAATTTGATGAGAACAAAAAAGAAAATAACTTATCTATTGATTTCTATTTACTTCTGTTATATGTTCACCAAGCCTTGAAAGCATATCATAAAGTTCATGTTTATCAATAAAACCATCTCGATTTTTATCGAAAACCTTATTGAAAGAAAATAATAGACAGATTATTAGTTCTATTCTTTTTTTAGTTAATTTACTTTAAAAACTTGATATAATTCAGTATCACCTTCGCCTGTTGATCGACGACTTCGCATCATAGTTAAAAATTCATCAAAGTCAACACTTCCATTACCTATATGAAATCAATTATTTAATTTCTTTTTATTTCGAAAATATATTTACCATCAGTATCAACTTTTGATATCACAGTTGAAATATCTTCTTCACTTGGTGAATAACCAAGTGAATTCATTAATGAACGAATTTCATAATTTGATATATTTCCATCGCCATCTTTATCTAGCAAAGAAAATGATTCTTCGAAGACTAAAATAAATAATAAACTATAGAAATTTTTTAATTTAAATAATTATTAATGAATTCTTTACCAGCAATTTGTTCTTCAGAAAACCCATGTACTTCACCCAATTCTCTTCGACTTTTACCCGTCGTTGTCTAAAGAAATAAATTTATTTTAAAAATATTTGTCTTTTTGAAAACATTTGTGTTTTCTTTTCTCATCGATTTTTTTTGTTTTTTCAAACTTAAAAAAGAAAACCTACGATAACAACATAAGTTTTTGTTGTCGTAATTGTATGTGTAATCGATGTACAATTATAGGCTGTCGTATGTTCGTAATGATGAGTTGATGAAGATCTTATCGGTGTACAATGATTTTCTATTACCATACTGGGACTATTGGATAAAGTTGTAGAAGTTGTTGTCGTATACATATCCTTACGTTTACAAACTAAGAACATAAACGGGGGTGGATGAATAAGTCAAGATGGCAATGTTAAGATCATGATCTATCATTGACTTGCCAGTACAAAATGCTATATCTCTGCCTTTGATTCTACTTGTCTTGCATCGTAAGAATACTAAGAAAATAATGGGAGTAATATTTTTTCTTCTCCTCTAAACGATTTTGTTACTTGACAAGTATAACTTCAGCTGTAGGGAAAACTAACACATGATGATCAATCGTCGATTATGAAAGATGCAAAAGAAACTTTCTTCTTCTTTTTCTTCGTTGCCGTCGTTGTACATCAAACTAAAGCCTATAGATGCACTTGGTTGATATGATAATAAAGAATTCTAAGAAAATAACCCCAGCAAAAACAACAAGAGAAAGAACAACAACAGCAGCAGCAGTAGCAATGATAAATCTTTTCTTCAAAATGCAAATTAGATCTTCTTGATAATGAAATCAAAATTTCTTTTTCTTAATGTTTTGTTTTTGTATAATAAATATAAATATCAACTTCTTCATATGAAATTTATTTTATATTCAAATAAAGGTGATATTTTTCTATTAATATAAATTAATCAATTATTTATGGTAATTAGTGGATCGATGTAGAAAATCGATTCTTTATTTACTAATATTCATAGAAGAAAAACGACTAAAGTCACAGAGGTCATTTCGTTCTTGAATATAAATATATATATATATATATGTGTATGTATACGTGTATATGCAATCTGGTCGACAACAGGCCTTCATCAATTCTCATTTGTCATCTTTGTCTTTTATCTCATGTCTGATGTAGCGCATAGTCTAATGAATTTGTTTTCGACATATATTAATATGATTTGAAACATTGTCTTTAATTACGATTGAGATTTATCGTAGAAAACAAAAAGATATCAATGCCAAATCAATAGAAATCAAACTTACAATCATCCAATCGTTTAGAATCTTTCGATTTGATGATATTTGATAAGGATCATGAATAGTTGGACGATGTCGTTGATTATCTAGTGTGAGCGATTGGGAATGTATAAGTAGTCGTTTTTCCGACATATATGAATTATATGATGAAGAACACATTGATGTTGTTGTTGTTATTATTTTTGATATTCGTCCATTTTGATGATTATATAGATTAGAATATGACGAAGATGACGAAGATGACGAAGATGATGAACTTAATGTGAATGTTGCTGTACGTGATATTCTCCTGAGAAGAATATCTTCATCAATAGCAAGATCAAGTTCTTCCATTGTCATGTATGAATCGTTTGCGAATGTATTGAGGAAGTAAATATTATTGTAATGAGAATTGCTCATTTACAAATTTATTTTATACGAGGAGAAAGGAAAAAAATATCAACAGTAACGAATGAAATCTAATGTCATCGCTCCATCAACAAAAAGAAGGAAAACAGCATTTATCGAGCTATCGACAATAATGACAAGGGTCGAACTGGCATCTTTTGTTCTTTCTTGATTTATATCCATTGTAGTACTTGACGTATAGACATCATATCCAAAATGAAAATATATGTAACAATGATACAATAGACCGCAAAGGAAAAAATAAGTACATGAATTACAAGAATACTCTAAATATAATATATGCTTTTTCTTTGCAATTTTATCAAGTATTTACGAAGAAATCAATTTCTATTGGTGCTTCAATTGTGTGCTTTCTCTTTTTTATTTCCTATTTATATCTTCAGTTTCTTCTTAACTTTCTTAGATTTCATCATGAAAAATGATAAACAAAAACACATAGATAAAATTACGTGAACTTCTATGAGTACTATTACCTTTGATCTCAGATATGAATAAGTATCGCAAAAAGGAGAACACAAAAAAAATAAGCTAAGAATACACTTCGTATAGAATGAATAATTATTCCGCCATATTATTATAAGGAAGCTTATATAAACAAACGAGATTCATTGAAAGAAAATATAATATAACATTATTTTGCTTATTAGATGTATCAATATATATATATATATATCAGTTGTCACCTTGATAATATAGCAGTAATATGAGAATATAAATGAATAAAATGTAATCATAGTCATTGATTAAAAGACAATATGAGTTTTTTGATCATCAATTTATAATGAATACTTACAGGTTTTGATTGTGGTGGTTGCATTTTATGTATGTATATTAGTTCAATACTATTTTATAAAATGACGTTATGGATGAAATCAAAAAAAAAATCGCAAATCAATCAAGCAGAACTAGATTAATATCATATATATATATATATATATATAGTTTTCATCATTACTATATTTCATAAGCAGCCAACGCCAAATCAGATATAAAATGTCCTCTAGATACTCACCATATCTATTCAAATGACGTTTTTTTTCGTGTCTATTTAATCAAAAGCTTTAGAAAAGATTGTATACTATTTCAAATAATATGAATGTATGATACAACAATCGATGATGATGTTTTAAGAGTAAAATTTAATGACAAAAAAGGTTTTAATACTTATTCTTAAAATTAAAAGGTTGATAATCAATTTCATTTAAAATTTAACATAGAGAAGAATTATAAAATACGATTATCAAACTGCGGAATAAATAGCAATTATTTTAATGTAGTAACGTAAGCAGGAAATCGTAGATGGTAAGACAGTACTCTACGATTTTGGAGATAATTCACACTATTAAGTGTCAATGGTGGTAATTATTAGGTTTTTCTTTCTTCTTCTAGTAGGACCGTACCCAGCTTATCCTATCCTCGGTTACACTACTATTTGAATATATCTAGTAAGTCAAAAATACAATACTGATTATGAATCATTACTTATTGTAACTAACTAGGCATTCCAAAATCAATCATTTCTGTTAAGTACTTAGTTGAACTTACAGAGGCGTCTCGCTTATATTAATACTAGTAACTATTCTAACTAAACAAGTAAATCTAGATTCATTTGAAATGCCTACCTTTCGACGTTTTAATTTAGGTGTTTTATTTGTAATTCGAATATTTTGATGAACATAATTTTGTAATCGAGCTTTTGGATTTTTGTTTAATATAACGTTTTTGCATTTTGCAATTTGTTTAACAGAACGATTTATTGATGATGAAAACATCTACAAATATAATAATAATAAAAATAAAATATTTCTTTATTGAATTTATCATAATTTAATCATAATGATTGATATATATATATATATATTTGTATTTATACTTGACAAACATGTGAATCATGATCATCTGTATATAACATAAACGATCATTCATACAGCTAAATTTCTCTGTACAACTCATATTTAGTACTTTCATGAGAAATGTATGTGAGAAATTAGCTTATAAACTAGCTTGTCTATTTTTTGTTTTTCTGCGACATCTTCTATCAATATTTCCCAATAACAGAATTTCCTAATCGTCTATTACTAACCATTCAAGCAAACAAACAAGTTTTTTTTTATTATTCTCGCTCTTCATTGCAAGAGAAAAGAAAAAAAAAAAAGAATTATTTTTCTCATCCGGACATTATTATAAGATAACATTGGCTTGTCATCATGACTTTATTATGGTATCCTTGCATATTTTTCCTATATTTTTCTTTTGTTAAACTTCAAATAACAGATATAGATACTAATACTACTATATCAACAAGATTATCAGATATATTCGAAACAGATAATTCTATAATAAAATTACCACATGTTACAATATTAGGCGCATTAACAAGTGATGAACATAGCAAAATCCTTCAAAATATTAGTACATATTTAAGTAAAGATCTATATATATCATCACAATCATTTATTCTTGATTTAAATCCATTATTAACAGTGTTAAAATTATGTGAGAAAGGTTATACATCAGGTGCAAAAGTAATTATTGCTGATCATATTACTGATGATGATAATGATTTAACATTAAATGCTATTTCGTATGTATCAGATTTTTATCATATACCTGTTATAGCAATAACATCAAGAGAAAATATTCTTGCAGATAAAGTAAATAACTAATATATGAATATATTATCGAATAAAAAAATCTTTTTAATTTTAGGCATTACATGATTTTATCGTACGATTAGTACCACCATATTTATATGAAGCTGATGCTTGGTTTAGTATAATTCGAAAATTAAAATATACAAAAGTTGTATTAATTTATAGTCAAGAAGAAGAAAGTCGAATGGTTGCATTAAGATTTCAAATGCTTACATATGATTCTGATATTCAAGTAAGCTTTGTTTCGATGTCTAACGAGAGAATATGTTCAACTGATCAATGACTTTGTTGCCGAAAACTGTTAATTCCGAATATGACTATAAGAAATCTCCTTAAATTTTTATATGTTGATTTTTCAGACTATTAAAAGTTTTTGAGAAAATTGTTCAGATAATAGAGCTGATAAAATTGTCTAAAATATAATAATCTTTGTTGTTTACTAAAAATGAGTTTTAAGAAAAACAATGTCATCTTGAAGGTTTTTGTATTGAAATGTTGATATAAATGTACCTGTTGTATAAATTAAAACGGCTATATTTTTTTTGCAAACGATTTGAAACAGAAAAAGATGGTTAGTCTAGAAAATCAATCTATGGATATCTGAGGAGGAGTTCTTATAGTCATATTTGGAATTAACAACTTTCGGTGAGAAAGCTATTTGATTAGTTGAAAACGTTCTCTCACAAGATATGTTTGTTAATGAAATTTGTCTTTATAAGCAATGAACGACAACACAATATGATCATATTAGCATGATGTCAAACACTTAATGCATATTGACATAACGAGTTTAAGATAAACATGATAATATGTAATTTGTGTTGAATGTTTTTGAACGTCAATCATGTCTTGTCATTTTTGTCCAAAAAAGTCAAAAGATAACTTCATTGAAACCAGTAATTCGATTTCAAATTAAACAGAACTAGCCTGAGACAATCAACATTTTGGAATCTTCGCAATTTTTCGAAAGAGTTTACATGGTTTTTCTAGAGGAATGCTGCATGACAAATTTTCCGCTTCACTAAGGAAAATCAATAAGATTTTTGGCTGAGAGGCACGATCATATTTCACTATTGATCGAATTGTTCCTCATTTCAAGACGATGTTCTAACATAAAATACTCTAAAGTAGTCAGAGTTACGGCACGTATCTTTTAAAATTTTCTTTCCTTATATCTAATAGATTGAACGAACAAAAGAATATGGTCCAAATACAAATTTTACATCATTAATTTTAAAATTAACAACTGAAGATCGTTTATTAGCACGTGTTTTTATTATTCATACAAGGTAAATAAATAATAGTTTTATTTTAATAATAATTTAAAAAGAAAATTCGTTATTATTTCTAGACATAAAGATATCGATGAATTATTATTAGCTATTGTGCGATTACAAAAATTAGAAAATTTTGTTTGGATTATTAATGAACGTGCATTAAAATCAAATAGTTCAGCTTTATTTGATGGTTAAATTGATATTATTCGATTTTTTTTTGCTGATTATACTTTTTTCAGGTCTTCTTGGTGTTAAATTACATGATTCATTTACTGAAGAAAATCTACTTATTGATGCAACTCAACTTATTGTAAATACATTTATTAAATTTCTTAATTCTTCATCTTCATTTTGGACCGAAAATATATCTGTTATTGATTGTTTATCAGTCGAACCTTGGGGAAATGGAAAAGATGTTTATCAGTATGTATCATTCTCTTTTTTTTGTTTTCATGTTTATCTTAAATTAATTTATTATTCGTTTTATTTCAGAGCATTAGCTAATACAAGTGTTGAAAATGGTAAAACAGGTAATATTGCATTTAATGAAGAAGGTGATCGTATTGAATCATTATATGATATAATTAATATTCAATATGGACAACCGAAAGTTGTTGGCAATTATCGTTCGAATACAGTAAGTTTTGAATATTATTTATTGATAAGAATATTTAAAGTGTTAAAAAATGTCTCGAAAGGATTATATTAAAAAATGCTAATGCTAATTTTTAGTCTATAGAATTCCTGCGGGAAAATTGATATATATATAAATTAGATTAAAAATTTAAAAATATTAAAATTATTCATTTCTATTTGATGTATTCGATCTTGTGAAAACTTTGACTAATTTCATCTTTTATCAATATAGATAACAAGAATCAATGATCACAGTTGAATTCTATTAACATGACTACAATATTGTTTGATCTGCAAATTTCCAGTTTTTATGTTTATCTTATACAAAAATATTTAAGCAAAGGAATATTTTCAAGCAGTCTTGTACTTTGAAGTTTTTTACTTTAGTAAAAATGCTTATCTGAATAGGATTAGATGGAAAATCGTCAATAAAATTCTTATCGTTCTTTTTGATATATTAGCTTGTTTACATTCGTAAAAACTTATACTTTTTAAACAAATGAGAAAATACAATTATTGATCAGAGCTCTGAATGGCTGAATCTCTAAACTTAAAAGAAATGGAACTATGGCTTCTCAAAATTTGGACGAGCTTAACCATGTGTTTTTATTTACAAATGATTTACTCAAAAGATTATATAATACTTATAGACAGAATTTTAGCTCTATAGAACGCATCTACAGAGTTTTAAATGAAAGCTATGTTTCTAGAAAAGCATTCATAGAACAAAAAAGTTGTTATCTTTTCTATGTGTTGAACTTTATCAGTGTATATGAATCCGAATTGTGAAAGACACATATAGACTTGAAAATATTAACATGGAAAAAATCTAAAATTTAGGGACATGAATGAAGCAATCTTCATAAACTAATTGTATGTTTCGACTTTGTGTCACTATGTATACATCTTATCAACAAATTATTATGGCGGCATTGTTATATATATTTTTCTTTGTTCTGCGTTGTATACATATTGATTCTTTGTTGCAGAAATGTTTGAGCCATTGCAAAAACTACAAAAGATTTCTCAATAAAAGTAGTAATATGTGACACAACTACAGAATTTTGTTTTTATTGAAGATTTGATCAACAAGCGTCCCTCAGTCTATGAGCCAAAACTAATAGTCATACCTTTTAGTGTAAATAAATGCATGTTTTAAATGAATGATGATACTTGATAATAGAATATTTGTCTTTCATGTCTTGATAATGAGCAGATAGAAAGTTTAACCTTTTTCAGATTTTATCTTATCTCATAGAAGCAGACATTTTGACTCTATGACCAGACACTCGGAGATTATGTCTCTTAAATAGATGACTAACCATGAGTAGTCAACCATCAGTCATGCAAGGTTCTCAGACGTTTTTCACTTGTAGAGCTCGTTAAGCCGATCAATTGAATTTAAAAAAATTGAAATTTACTCAATAACTTTTGGTACTAACGTCAAGATACTCGGAAGTGTTAAGTATTGCTCGTCGGTAGTCAAGAATAGTCAAAGTTTTTGAATATGCTTGTCCTAGCGCATCATGATTTGTTGAGTAAATTTGAGTATTTTTTATTTATCAAAACGATTAGTGCAATGAGTTATTCAGATGAATAAAATCTTTTGAGAATCTGGTATTTTTTATGGATTAATTACTTATGGCAGTATCCATGAAAAAAAAAGCGATTCACAAGCATTTTATCGTTGATAGAGAATTATAAGAAAGACCATTGTCTAAATATCTTGTTTCTTTTTGCTTCTAGAGTACTTGTTATACAAGTGTGATGTGTCAAGAAATTGTAAGTATTTTGGATTAATTATAAAAAGCATGAATATTTTAATCGTCTCTTTCGTTTTATACTATGTTAATTTGCCATAAAAAACATGTGTTTGATTTTTATTTATATAGATCAGTAAAACAGAATTAAAACTTAATGAAGATGAAATTATTTGGCCTAATCGATTAAATCGAAAACCTGATGGAATTCATACAAGACGAAATGTTTCGGTTAGAATATTTTTTTTTCAAAATTTTTGCTAATAGGCATGTATTATTTAGGTTGTTACTATTGTCGAAAAACCATTTGTATTTGCTCGTCCTGGTAATGATTGTGACTCCTTATCTGAAGTTTTTTGTCCACGTAAAACACTTAATAGTAATGTCTACTAAAAATTTTTGTAACTAGAAATCAATTGTTTTATTTTCAGGCTCAACTTATGAAGAATATTGTTGTTATGGTTATTGTATTGATTTATTAAAAAAATTATCAAAAAATCTTACTTTTTTTTATACATTACATCTTGTTGCTGATGGTAAATATGGATCATTTGAAAAGGTAAATAAAAATACACAATAAAGAATTGAGTAGTTTCTAAAATATATCAAAGAACAAATAATATTTAATAAAATATACGCATGAATATTTATTACGAGTTACAAAACAACCGAATATCCTGTAGAAATGACTTAAAATGGTATGATTATTTAATATGTCTTTTTTTCGTATAGGAAAGAGATGATGAACAAAAACGTTGGGATGGAATGATTGGTGAATTAATAAACTATCAAGCTGATATGATTATTGCTCCATTAACAATGAGTCCTGAACGTGCAGAAGATATTGAATTTACAAAACCATTTAAATATCAAGGTATAACAATTCTTGTACGAAAGGTAAATAAAGAAAAAAGAAAAATTTGAATTGATTTCTATTTATAAACATATAATATTTAGGATACAAATAAATCACATTTGGCATCATTTTTACAACCATTTCAAAAAGTGTTATGGATAATGGTTTTATTATCTGTACATATTATTGCTGTTGTTCTTTATTTACTGGATCGTTTATCACCATTTGGTCGGTTTCATTTCGCACAACAACAAGATAAACAACATGAAAGAAGTCTGGGCATAGAAAAAAACACGAAAGAAGATAAACTTAATTTATCACATGCATTTTGGTTTACATGGGGAATTTTATTAAATTCAGGAATTGGAGAAGGTTAAAAAAAAAAAAGAAAAACAAACAAAAGAAAAGTCCCGCAGGATTTAATAACTTATCTTGAACCAGGATACTGTATATGTGATGTTATAGAGCACTTCGTGATGCATCGAATGATATAGAAGAAATCAAATGTTTCTCAAATTTTGACTTGCTGAGAGTTCGTATACTGGTCGTAATTATTGAGAAATGTATATAGTATTCATAGACATTATGATCCATAAAATAAACTTATGCAAATGTTTTTGTCAAACTCAATTCTATATAGTTATAGGTGCTCTTCAATGTTCTATAATCAATAGTTTTCATCATTGATTTTTTATATTTCACGCTTGTACCTTTTCTTAGGTGTAGGTTATTTCTTGCTCATATGATATTTCAGTGTATTCACTTTTGTTCTGTAGAACAAGTGAGTATTCAACGTGAAACTTTCTCAAAAATTGCACACTATTGAGCTCTATTTGTTTTACAGATAAGATCTTTCAGAACAATATGAACATATTCTCATTTTGCTCCCTAGAATATTCTATTTTTGCATATAAAGAGACCATTATATTGATGATATTTTAATAATATTTAACGATCATATTAAAATTTTTCTATATATCACATAATCAGATCAACAATCCTAAATGATCTGATATAAATAACTCCTTTATGAACGAAAAAAACTTTTTGATCGTCACACCGTAGAAGGGTATTTAAGCAGTGAAAATATTTTATTATTGAAAAGGATATAAGATGCTTCATGAGGGATGTTATCCTGATTATTAATACATAATCACTTTAACCATCTAGCAAATTAACAATGTGTTCCTGCTATTTTAAGAGATCTTATCTGTAAAACATATAGAGCTCAATACTGTGTGCAATTTTTGAGAACGTTTCACATTGATGTTCACTTGTTTTATAACATAGACTGGAATACATTGAAATATCAAATAGTTAACAAATAGCCTAGATCAAAGAAAACGGACTAATGAGGAAAAGTATGGATCATAGAAAATTGAAGAGTACGTATAACTATATGGAATTGAGTTTGAAAAAAATTTGCACAAGTTTATCTTAGACACCATAATGTCTTTAATTACCGTTGATAGTCGTAAAGACTTACGATCCGTGTATTGAATTTGAGAAGAACTTGATTTCTTATATACTGTTCGATGTGTCAAAAACTGCTCTACAACATTGCATATATGGTATCTTGGTCAAGATAAGTCACTAGATTCGGTGGAGTCATTTGATTAATAATATCATATTGTATTTTTGTTTATTAGGAGCACCAAAAAGTTTTTCAGCTCGTGTTCTTGGTATGGTTTGGGCAGGTTTTGCTATGATTATGGTTGCTTCTTATACAGCTAATTTAGCTGCTTTTCTTGTACTTGATCGACCTGATGAAGCAAGTTTATCAGGAATTAATGATGCTCGAGTAAATTATTTAAATATTGAATCAAAAATAATTTTCTTTCTCTTTTTCAAGTTAAGAAATCCACAAGATGGTTTTACATATGCAACAGTAAAAGGTTCAGCAGTTGATATGTATTTCAAACGACAAGTTGGTATGTTAAATCAAACGAAAAAAGGAAATATTATGTTTTTTTTTTCTTAGAATTTTCAACAATGTATCGAATAATGGAATCAAAAAATCGCTTATCAGTTGAAGAAGCAATATCAGAGCTACGAAATGGGTAAATAAATAAAGTGAAGCAAAAAAGTTTCTTTTCGGATTTTGTCTTAACAATAATAACTTAAACAAATGAGAAAAAATATTTGATAAGTTAAAACACTTTTCTATTAAATGAAATACTTGCCGAATTTCTTTTAATAGATTTTGGGTGAAAGATTTCTAGAAAACCAGTTTTCTGAATTTTATCGGAAAGGTTGTGCAAATAAGTTAGTCTTATAGAGATAACACTTCTAAATAAAATAAGTTGCGTTCGAGTTCTCTACCACCTATTATCAGTGAACTGCACTCATTCTACGAGATGTCTGAAAATGTAAAATACAATAAATGTATTTAAACTTTCATAGAAACTACAGAAGACAGTCTTTTCAGTCTATCGTACAATAAGTGTTGTTCACTGAAGATAGATTGTGGAGAGTTTTGTCAGATCTTATTTTGTAGAAAAATGTTTTCTCTAATAAATGAACTTTTTTACAAAATGTTTTTGACAGAATCCAGAGACCTTTCATCTAAACCTACTAATGAAAATTTGAGAAATACTTTTTCTGATGGGATACTGTTTCAGCTAATCAAACTTTTTCTCTGATTTGTTTTAGCTGTTAATGTGAAGCAAAAAAGTCGAAAATGCTTCGTTTCTGAACTTTTTGTCTGTACCTTACAAGTTTGAGCGAATAGAGTCAGATTCAAGTTATTTTTTGACATTTTTTCATTTTCTGTTCATTCTTATTAAAAAAAAGAGTTTAACAACAAGTTGGGCAGTAATATAAACTCTTCTCTCTCATACAGTTCCACAAGACAGTAACACCAATGGTAACAAACAAAATTCTGAACTAGAAGTTGTTTACAAACTAAAAATATTTACCAACATGTAAATTAATGTCTTATTGCACTACAAAAATATTGAAATACAAATATTCAATTGTGAAAAATTTAAACAATACTGTCTCATTAAAAGACTGCTTTGAGAAAACATATGTTCAAGTAGTACTGATGTAGCATAGAAACATGCATAATTTTTCTAGCAAGTTTACTAAGAAATTGATATAAATTTCAGTTTTGGAAAATCAGATCATCGTGATTCATTTCATGAATATCAGGAAAATTGAGTTTCGAATTGTGCCTTGAAAGTTTTCATAGAAACAGCTCTTAATAAGAACTATTTATTCTAAAAGTTTAACGTCCTACGATTACTTCTATCGTAAGATACAATTATGGTAATAGCAAATGTTTTTATGTCACTCATATACAAGGGCAAATTTTGCAAGGTATTTATAACTCATCAGAATCTATGTTATGCACATAGTTTTGACTCAAAATTAATTAAATACTCCAAAACATTCCTTTTTTTTAGTCATGAATTCAATTTATCCGGCCTTGAATAAATATTTATTTTGTATTTTTTGAAAAATTAATAATTATTTGTTTATTCTTTAGAACATTAAATGCATTTATTTGGGATTCGCCAAGACTTGAATATGAAGCAGCACAAGATTGTGATTTAGTTACAGCTGGTGAATTATTTGGACGATCAAGTTATGGAATTGCATTAAGAAAAAAAGATGCATGGATTAATCCATTATCTCATACTATATTATCATTTCATGAAACAGGTTTTATGGAATTACTTGATAATAAATGGATTTATTCAAAAAAGTAAAGTAAAATGAATTTTATGTTTTTATTTTTTATTTTCATTTGATATTTTAGTGACAAACAATGTCCTGATCGTTCATCATCACCAGCAACACTTGAATTTCATAATATGCTTGGTAAAAATGAGATCTTTCGCTTTGTTTTGCTTTTTTTTTATTATTGATGGATGCTAAATATTCTTTATAGATGTTTTTCAACTTGTTGCTTTTGGAGCAATTATTGGTTGTTTTGTTCTTATTATTGAAATTATATTTAAAAGACAAAAACAACGAGTACAAAGAGAAAATGAAATAGCTCGAAATGTTATGGTCTATTGGAAAAAAAGAGTTGAGGTAAGAATTACTGATGGAACTTTATAGATTTTTATTTTTTATTTTTTTTCTTCTTAGAGACGTAATCGACAACGTTCGACAATGCTTGAATCTGATAATTATGAAAAACAAATTGTTAATTCAAATTCTTATCATCCATTCTCTTCAAGTCGTATTGACTATCCTGTGTAATCAAATTTATTTTGAATTTAAAACATTTGTTTATTAATTAAAACCTATAAGATACTCTTTTTTTTCTTTCTTTTTTTTTCGAAATATATCTCTATGTAGTTAATCTTCTAAAAGTAAAACACCATTATTCTTTAATTTGTCATATAGTTCTATCAATAATAGATTGGATATATTTAGCTGACGTTGTCATCAATCGTAAAGGTCATAAACAACGATCAGAAATCTATGCTATGATATAGATTAAACAAAAGACGACAAGAAATAAAAAAGAATATGAATATAAGACATGTTGCTATTAATGTCGAAGGGCATTTCTACTATTGAAGAGATATCTATTCGTGTTCTTGGTCAAAGAAATATGTAGAGAAGAATCATTATTTAACAACATATCCTTCGACTTCATCGACATCTTGTCCTTCTTCTTCTTCTTCTCTCTTTTTCCTTTCAACAAGAATAGAAGAATAATATCGATCTATACGTAACATCTAACCTCAGAACTGAGCAAACCAACATCCTACCATGCCGTCGTCTATGCATCATCATCATCATCAACATCATCGGTGGTGTCTTAGTATACTATTTCATGTTCTTTATATATAAGAGTTTGTAAGTAGACCGATGCTATCGTTCTGTTGCTTCAGCAAACTAAATAAGAGAGAATTGTCATAATAGAAGGCGATAGCATCTATACATGTAAAGATCTTTCATCATCTGGTTGACTCAGAGAACGTTGGCGACGACCTCGAATTGCTTCGTTTGTCGCACAAGAGATTTTCAGCTCAGTTCTCTTCGTTGTCATGAAAATGACTGGCATGATATAATTATTATGAGACTGCTTGGGAAATAGCAAACATTTATCAAGACAAGGAGAGAAGATCGGTGAACTACTATCAAAGCAAATAACTAATATATACGTACAAACATACACATGAGGAACTCATTCGTTACGGTAAGTAAAAATTCTATGATTGAGTCACGTTTATTATAAAATACTTGTAGTCATTTACTTATTTTATAATCAGATATGAGTCAAATTTTCTTGTCATGCTACATTTTTCTTTCTTTCAATTTATTGAAACAAATAGATTTGAATATAATGAAGTTTTTTTTCTTCTTTTCCTTTTTTTTTCTAGGTAGTTATATTTTCTCTCTCTCTCATTTAATATTACAATGGTTATTGAAACCCGACAGAGTCGTACACGTCTTCTTCATTATGAATATCATCATCATAATCGTAATCGTCGTCGTCACCATACATTAGACAATGCGACTTTGGATAAATTCAATTTTATTTGTGTACAATTACACCCTGACGAGGTAAATCTCATTAGTTCATTTTAATTATTCTTTTTTTCTTTTGAAAAATAATGAAGCTGATTATTGTTTTCTTCTTCTTTTTTTTTTGTTTTGACCTTGAAAAATATATAGGCTTTATATTTTTTTATGTACACAAAAATTCTTTTTTTTTTTGCCTTATCGGCTAAATCTTCGTCTGAAAAAAAAGAAAGAAAAACTATCGATAGATTAGTAGTATAGATAAATGATACGTAGAAAAATATATATTATTTGTTCTATAAATAGTCACGTACTGATTCGTCATCGTCTCATACAAATTTAACTATGACACAACCAAAAAATTCTTCAATTTCAACAACTTCAATGGTGATACCACCTGCAACAATATCAACAGTAACAACGGCAGCACGTCGTGTTCGTTTTAAATTTGATGAAAATGATAAAAATCAAAATGATATTGATTTAAATGATAATCGACATACACGTTCATCTGATGATGTTAGATTATCTGAAAAAAATTCTATTCATCGTGTTGAATTCGAAATTCCTATTCATAGAGGTATTAAATCTATAGAACATAAATTATATCACATATTGTTGTTTTTTTGTCTTATTGAAGATATAAATCCATGGTTAAATGTTGATTGTTCAACACAATCATCTCTACCAGCTAAAACACGTTCGTTAACAACACAAAAAATTGATATAAAACATACTAATAATAATTCAATTCGTGTGCAAAATATAGCACCATTTATTGAAGCTGAAATCAGTTCTGAAATAGTAAGTAAAAAGAAAAATAAATATTCTAATGACATCATTTAATTGTTACTTGATTCATTCAATGTATTGTTCAAAGAATTATCTATTTCTGATTGAATATTATATAGTAGATTAGACATAGTTCTGATAGCATAGTTTTCGCTAGTAGTTTTGTTGATTGACAAGATCATAATAGGGATATATGATACAATATTCTATTGATTATATATTCATCTCATATTCATGAATGATTGACATAGTGTTAATTATCAAAAATTAGTATTCTCTCATTGATATTAAATCAATATCATCTTTAAAATAGTCTCGAGAGTATTCTATCGTAACCACAGAATTTATGTATATTGATAAATCCTAAAGTTCGAGGTGTCAAATAAATAAATGAAAACGAAAAAGAAACAAAAGAGTGAATATATTATTATAATTTAGAATAGTTTTTGTTTCTCTGTTGTTTTAGTATTACCTTATGTGTTAGTTTATTTGCATGATATGGTGGCAAAAGCAAACATATCATTGCCATAAAGTTGTTTTCTTGCCAATAATGGCTTCCTTCTTCTCTCCTGTTTCTCTCGTTTTTTTTAACAGTTGATCTATGTACCATCACTAACAGCGATAAGGCAAGAGGACTTATCTATAGACTAAAAACAATAATATCAACACCAACACTAACCGTACGTCCGTTCTATAGCCGTCGTCTTTCTTGCTTTCTTCTATTTCTCTGTTAGTGATGGTGGTTCATCAACATTTTTTTTTTATCGTCGTCATTATATGCGTCTTATAAATAGAAAGAACAAACGATAGATTGTACTTTTGCTTGCAAACGACTATCAGTTGATTAAACCTTGATTATCACATACGAAGTATTGACATTTTCATCATCATTATCATCCAATTAGATCAATCTGAACATTCAACAAACATGTGCTCATGTAATAGAAAATGAGTTCAACTCATGCTTGCTATTGTATATAATGGATGCAATGAAGAAAATAATACGACACAATATCATCTGTCGCTGCCAGCAGGTAGTTAAAAATATCAAAAAAAAAACTAATAAACCTAATATCAATTTCATCTATTTTGTTTTTTTTTTGATTAATGTACACTATGATTATTTTCTATCGTCAACTATACCAACATATATGTTTTCTTTTTATTTTCTTAACTATTTCATGCTGAGAAAAATGTCAAAAAAAAACCATATTCTTCGTTCTTTTATTTCTTCTTTCGTCGATATACATCCTTGAGTACAACTAGTTCGACCACCTGTCGAGTTCATGTTCACATCTACAGTTCATCTATCATCAAATCAGGTGTTTTCATATCATTAAATATATTTATTCATCTCATCCGGAGAAATATGTATCAGAAAACAAATAATGAATAAACGAAAAATAAAAAAAAAAAAAAAGAAACTAGTAACATATGTATATTCTAGGACAGAAGTGCAATATATATTATTCATCATGTATTTTATTCGACATCTTGAATTATACTTGTTTCGAAAGTTAATACTTGATCTTAATCGATAAATCATATTGACTGTCAATATCTGTACGATTTTTTTGTTCAACAAACCATACACGTCAATCATGACATATATAGCTATATGTATATAAGATGTTAGTTGAGTTTTTTTTCTTTTTTTTTTGTTTTATGACATGTATATATACATATCATTCTGTTGTAATAACAACATCATCATCACTTTCACCTCTGTTCTTTCATTTTGACTTGTTTGTATTACCATTGCCAGCTTGTTCTATCATTCTATTGAGACCATGTTTATTACATAATGGATAGTGAAGGATAGATAGACAAGCGCATATGTCCCGTCAAGTAATATTAAATACAAAAAAAGTAAGAAGTTGTGAACATTAAAATGACGATATAGTGTCACATTATTAATGAGGGTGCGTGTGTGTATATATATTCAATACAAAAGAATCGACAATGTTTTTTTATAGGAACAAAACATACCTAAAAAGGAGAAAATATAAAGAATCGAATTTAAATTGAATATACGAAAAGCGATATAATGACGTGTTGTATATATATATTGATGTGAATCTATTATATTCTTTTAGCCAATAACTAATGATTCCGACAAGACTCAATCACAATGGTATAGACAAATGTATGGTCACCTACATAAACCATTGGAAATGAAACAAGGTAAATATAAAACAAATAAAATATTTTATTTATTTGTTTGATTAATATGCGCAAAACATTTTAGAAAAGAACTCATATAATGTATTATTTAGGCATAATTCTTATCAAATTACTTTCTATATCTTTTCAATATCCGTAGTAAGAATTGTTACGTTTCAATTGAGCATATGTCTTTCATAAATATATTTCATACTGTTGTTTTTCTTTTGTTATATGCTTTTAATTTTTTGTCCTCATGCATTAAAAAAACGAAAGAAACGTAAAAGAGCACATTGTTCAATAACATTTTTATTCAAGTACATTGATGTCTTCATGATAGCTTTCTATATGTGCCACATATTTAATAGAATATGTAATGCATTTCAAGTAGATGCAATAGACATTCAATATCTTCTGATAACATTCAATGAGAAAGACAAAGGGAAAAAAAGCTTTTTTTTTGTGTGTATTTATGATAACAGATCATTCAATTAGTTTATTACAATTATAAAAAATTTTATAATGAACTGTTCAAAAACTCTTCTCTCATTTATTTTTGCTCTCATGTGATGAATTCGAAATGGCTACCGAAATAGTCTCTATAAGTGTCTATGGTAGGTATTAATTGCTTTTTTTTGTCCACTTGACTATCACGTTCAGTACATTTATATATACATATAAAGGGATGTACAACTCTCATACTGTTGATAGTGAATGATGTTGTATATCTGTGTTCTTGTCTGCTTTGATATTCAATTGAGCTCGAGGTCTATTATTATTATTATTATTATTATTATTATTGTTCAAATAAACATATGTCATGTTTTGTTAGATGAATTGTTTTAATGTTTAGAACATCAACAAAATCCTTATACACCAACATATACATTTCCTGATGAGTTCAGCGGTGATGTCGATCTTATGGAAGATTACATAAGAAAAAAAGCATCACAAACACTTGATAAAAATGATGGTAAGATTTAATGTGAATATGAATAAATAAATAATAAATTTTCTATAGAAAAAAATTCTTCATCGACTTTACGTATATCAAGTTCAAATCAAAAGTAAATAATTATTAATAAAATCTAAATATTAATTTTATTTGTAAATTTTAGTGATCAACGAACAATATCAAAACGAACTAATGATCATAAAGAAAAAGTTATACGTTTTGAAGATCATTATTCATCACCTGTTAGTTCATCTTCATCAGAACAATTTAAATTAGTAAGAAAAAAAAAAGGAAATGAAAAAATTTTTTACTGGCAATGACAGAATTTCTATTGTAAATTAAAAATATTAAATGTGTTTAGTATAAATGAAAATTCTTATCATCAAACTAATGCACTTCACATATTGCTTGCACTTGACCTGCACGATAAGGAGATAGATGAATTGTAAGAGTAATACATATCAGATACAAGGGAAGTATTTGTACTCAGGTTTTTCTTGTTTAGTGGGCTGATTTTTCATGAATTTTTCATAATTTAGTAGTATTTTAGTAAAAATGGATTAAGTTCATATTTGAGAAATAATTCGCACGTACGAAGTTCGTAGTTAAAATTGACTGGAACAGTATCTTCTGATCTAGTTAGTAGCTGATTCTTGTATAGAAATTACTTATTTTTCAAAAAAATTCGGCCAAGGAATGTAAAAGAACTTGATCTTATCTACCAATATTGTTGTACAAGTTGCTAATTAAGAAAAATACAAGATAATAACAAGTATTTCATATTTTCGATTTTAAGTAAAATTAAACTGTTCTAATTAGTTGTATAGAATGATATTAGCAGAACCAAAGGTTAGTTGAATGTTAGTTTGTTCTGAAGGATTAACTTACTATATTCAGCGACAAAATGCGTCTTTTGTTCAGTCATGACCTTGAATATGAGTAGTCGTAAATACTTCATATATACCCATTATGAAAGCCATAATTTATTCTCTATATCAAAGGTGAGTTCAGTTCGGTTTAAATTCTAAAATATCTGCGCCAATCCCATTTTTGATCTGTACCACCATGTAAAAACTTTTAGTAAACATCTGAGTTCCAACAGATTGAAGAACCAAGTCAAATGATTGACAAAATGAAGAAATCAAAGAATATTTCTGCTCTGATTTTTAACATATCTATTGTTCAATTAATAATTATGAAATGTCAATATTCATAGTTTGCACTGTATACAAAAGTTCTTTTATTATTCTTATAAGATTGAATATTTTCATCTTTATTCATAGTAAAGTATATAAATATCATATGACATCATGTGCTTTTCTTAATTTAAATAGAATCAATATTATCAATAATTTAAAAATTCACGCAAATAAAAGCTGACCACTTCTTAATTCAATAAGAATTCTATTATGAAAACACGTTTACATTAATACGGTAATAATGTTTTAAAAACTTTTAGCAACACCTTGAACGTATCCTTCAGGCAAAATCAGTCCACTGGTTAAGACACAATTGAATATAAATAGTTCTTTTCTATCTAAATTGTACATCTCTTATAATTCGAATACTTCCTGTTCATATACGCCAAGAGCCATCAATATTTAAAATTTGTTAGTTTGGCATAAAAGAATGTTCATTTCAACCAAATATGTCTTGTTTTCTTAAAAGAATCTCAATTGTCAAATCAAAAGTAACATATTTTTGTTATTATTCAACATTATCAACATTTTACATAGAAAAATACAGAAAATAAGTGCTTTAGAAATCATCTGCTAGATTTTTGCCTTAAGCATGTTATATCACATTCAAGGTCATGCACACATACGAAATATTCAAGTAAGAAGCATAACTTCAGAGATAAAATTTAGAATTTTTCAATTTGCCATTCAAAAACCTAGCAATAGAAATTTTTTTAGAGTAATGTCTGATTGTTAAAAGTCTATAATTAATCAATTCTCTTTGATCTCGGTCTCGGTCAAAAACCGGAATTAGGTACTGGTTCCAGTTGGGTTGAGACTGAGACTATCTTGTTCATATCAACACCTAATGCATTTTGATGTTATCTTTATTGAATTTCTTTGTAATTATCATTTGCAAATAAACTTCCCGTTAAAAGCACTTTCAATACACCATCAATTTTAAGTGTGTCCTTCGATATGTTAATGTTACTAATTATCACATAAGAATTCATATTTCAAGTGTAGCCCTCATAGAACACTTAACAATGTATCTAATATATAATAAAATAACTTCATCTATACATCTACTTATTAACAAACTAATTCATTTTTTTTTTATTATATAGAATAATGATGCACCTACAACAAACTTCATAAACACTAATTTACGATCGAATTCGAATGAGTGAGTCGTCAGATTGTTTTGAATGATTATTATATATGTATATATTTATAGTATACCAACATCAGATAATGAACAAAAATCAATTTATAAACGTATATCACGTGGTGGAGATATGTCATCAAATGGTTTACAAAAATTTTCTAATATTAATCGAGGTAGGCATAGAAATTATCTTTTATCAGAATCAAAAAAGAAAAGAACATATATTTGGATTCGTACAAAACTAAATTGTATAGTACAAGCATAAGAAAATCAAATAAAACGTCTTTTTTTTATTAACGCAAATCAAACAGAAACTTGTAAATGTAAATTTATATTTGACATACGTTCATATAATTCGATTAATAATAAGGTTGAAGAGTTTACCATACATAAGAGTTTATAGTCTTGTCCTATATTATTTTAACATCTACAAATGTTTATTCAAAAAAAAGACTACTTTTTATTTGTGTTGTATGTGAAATATCTAAAGCAAATGACATAATTTATCAAAATCTCATTTTCTTGTATTCTCATTAAAATATTGTAACAAGCATACATTGAACTAGATGGCCTTGGTTTTTTTTTTCATTTTTAATTGCTTAGACCATACACGACATTTTTTAATATATTTTTCTTTCTCCTTTTTTTTTCTTCTCAAGTTTATATCTTGAAAGGCTTATGTAGAAGGTAAAGAAACTATTGAATAATAACATCATCAAGTACATGGTTACATATATATTCTTTTAAAATAATGTGCTATGTTTTTTTTTATGATTAAAAAAAAAGAGACAAAAAAGTGTTAATGCATAGTAACCTTGAGAGATAAAAGACTTTTGTTTCTCAATCTTAATGATCAAGTATTTGTTGTGTCATGATGTCCACATGATTCATATAGGCGAAGAGATTATAGAAATATGTCTTGTGTAAATCGCATCAATAAATTTGACCTAGAAAATACATAGAGCGGCACAAAACGACTAATCGAAAATCAATAATGACAAATAAGTTAGTGGTCGAGTTTTTAGAGACGAATTAAAAAATGATCATTAATACTTATGGTTGTGCTATATTATGTCACTTTTTTTTTATAACCTTGATAAGATACGTACAGTTTGGTTTCTATTTTAATGTCTCACATTGATTTTGTATAAAAAAAATAAAACCTTCTTATTAGTAGACATAATAATTGATCATTGTTTTTTTTTTATTCAGTAAATCATTTCTTTCATCACAAGTATAATATTTCATTCTTTTATATGCTTCTCATACTTTTATTGTTTTGTGTAACATATGAAAGTAGGATAAAACACGTGCATACATATATGCACATGTTCTTCATCATTGTGAGTATAACTACCATAAGATCGAAAAGTACGAATTCAAACAAAATGCTTTTATGAAAATTCTTTCTGCATATGTGAATGAATATCGACAAAGTATTGCCATCAACAACATACACATGAATGCGAAAGAACACTTATTTATTTACATAAAGATGCCGATAGACAAAACGAATGAAAGAAAAGAAATCCAAACTGAAATACTTCCATGGCTACATATCAACATTATTGTACATTTGCTTAGATTTTTGCTGGTTGTTTTTCCTCTTTTTGTCTTTTTTTTCTTGGCCACTTATTACTCTTTACCGTCTGCAACTCTATTGGTGTCGCAATGTAAAGACGATAGTTATGAGAATCATGTGTTTTTTTTATATGTATGACAGAACGAAGGAGAGAGCGAGAGAAAGAGAGAAACAGAAAACTGACGAGTAATTAACGAAGGAAAGATAGAAAAACTAGTATGTATATGCTTGACGCATACCTCCACAAATTATACTAAGATCAACATCGATTATCATCCTTGTCTATTCCATATTTATCCAGTTTACAACACTTCACTTATAGACATACTATAGACACACGACGTTATTTCTTCTTGTTTCGCTTTCTTTCCTTTTTATTCTAACGACTCATTGAAAAAAAAAATCGTAGACGACGAACGTCCAGGTAGAACATACACACATAACATAATTATACGCTGGACCATCATCATCATCATCATCATCATCATATCACGAGGATTCGGATGAGCGCCTGTCATTCATCATAATTGTGCGATCAACCGTATTGACAAATAAAAAAAGAAGGAATAATAACCTCTGTCTTTTTCATCATCAATTCTTTTAAATCAAATGATGAATAACGACAAAGGTGTTACAACTAATGACAGCATTGGAGAACTTGTTCGTATTGTGGATAATCATCTTAATCCAATGAATACAACTTCAAATTTAAGTTGGACACGTACTTATACTCCACCATTAATGGGCACATCTGCTCGTGCAGTTAAACGTCGAGTAGATGGTGATACAGGACCAATACGTATAGAAGGTACAGATACATATAATCGACCATTACAACATCATTATCAAAATGTTCGACAAATATTGGAGCAACCACAACAATCGAGTCAAATATCAAATGTTGATCAATCAAATTATTCAAGGTCGTTATCGAATACAAAACGAGACTTTTTTGACAAACAATCTCAATTACCAATATCAACATATGATTATCCACCACATGAATCACAACAACAACAACAGCCAATGCAAAAAATAGTTACAACAATAACCACAACTACAGAAACATTACCAACACTAGTTAAACAAACACCATTATTAACTAATCATATACTTGAACAATCGACTGAAACGAATATTAAAACAATTAAAAATGATTCTCAACAACCACAAATTATTGAACGTACAGAAAAATATCAAGAATTTTCAGATTCAACTAATGATGGAATTCGTCGTTTACCAATGTTTCCTATAACAAAAACAACTGGTGCTACTGACCTTGATCAAGTCCAAGCACAAGTTAATCGTTTAAGTGATGATCATCAAGCTATTCAACAATTAGCGCGTGAACTTCAAGAACATAATGTAACAACAACAAATCAATATAAACGTTTAGCATCACAAACGAATACAACTTTAACTGATACAACAACAACAACAACAACAAATCCATCAAATACTATTATTACTGATAAAACTAATAAGACAGTAACAAGTGAATTTACTGTTATTGATGCTTTACTTGATAATCCATTAGGATCAAATGATGATAAACAAAATAGTCTTTTACATAAACGTTTTAATGATATTCTATCAAATATACGAAATTCTGAATATGTGAATTTATTTAAAAATTCAACAGCAAAAAAAATATTAAAAACACCAACGAACGAACCTGTGAATACACGATTAATACGTAAACAAACACATTTCACAGAATCAAACATCGAACAGATTTCAATGTCAACTGAACAAACTCCTTTACTTAATTCAAAAGAAAAGAAAAAACAAGACAAAGTAAACAAGAAAAAATCTAAAACTAAAACTAAATCAAAAAAATTACCAAAAAATGTCGATTATCAAGTTATTGATGCTATTATTAATAGTCCTATTTCACTTTATATACCAGATTCTTACTTAGCCAAATACAAAGTTACTTCTCGATTATCTCAATTGTCTTCTGTTCCATCAATAAGATCAACAGATAATAGCATTTCAATGTCTCAACAACTGGACACCAAGGCTAACAATGAGACAGTCTATAACCTTGCCAACGTTATCCATGAAATTTTTCTACATCATGCAGCTGCTTTAACTTTATTAGGTTCTACACCAAAAAAACAATTACAAAATCCAATGAAACCTAGTGTTATAAATGAACTTGTTTATAAACAACAACCACAACAATCATTGATGAATTCTAATCAATCCGAAATACAGTTACAACCAGACCCGAATAAAACTCGTGTTCTTTATCGATATCTTGATGAACATGGAAATGTACTTAAACTATCATCAACACCACCATCACAATTACGTGAAAGTCTAGCAGAACCATCGCAACAATCTTCATATCGACGTACTGAACCAACATATATTTATAATCAACAAATAACTAGAAATGATGAGCAAAATCTTCGTCGAATACCTGAACATGAACAACGTATAACAAGGCAAGTTGAATCAAGACTACCAACAACAAAAACAATAACAAAAGAAGATTTAGAATTACGAAATAAACAAACATCACAATTAAATAACTATTCACCACGATTAGATCAAATTACACTAGAACCATTGGCACAATTTTCATATCGAAATATTGAACCAACATATATTTCTAATCGACAAATAACTAAAGATGATGAACAAAATCTTCGTCGAGTACCTGAACATGAACAACGTATAACAAAACAAGATGAATTAAGATGGCCAACAGCAATAATAACAACATCAACAACAAAAGAAGATTTAGAGTTACGAAATAAAAATGTATCAAAATTAAATATACAACCATCACCAACAGTATATAATATACCAATAACAATTGAACATCCACATACAATAAAAACTCCTCCTCAACAACAACGTAAACATCATCATCCAAATCAACAAAATGTTTCTTTAAGTTGGCTACCACTATCATACCAATTAGAACAACAATATGTACCAATTGGTTCAATTAATTACGACACAGATTCATCAATGAGTGAACATTCACCAATACATCAGCCATATGATTATGTACCCGTATATACTCATCATCATCATAATCGAGGAACATTTTTACCAAATGCTTGTTGTCATAATCATTTACAAGGCCATGCTCATTATCCTTCCCCACCACCTGTATCTTATGTTACTTCATGTATAATACCTGAATATAGTAGTGGTAGTTATTCTCGAAATTATATTGAAGTATTTCGTGATGGTGAAACAATACCAAGTGAAGTTTATTCATTACCAATAAATGAACTTATAACAACAAATAATTCTCATACATCTTATGATCAACATGAGAATAAACATCAACCATCATCTTCAATAAATTTACAATTTGAAAAAAACATTCCATCAACATCAACTCATGATCAATATCATTCTCGTACGATAGACACTAGTCCCAATCGTGATAATATTTATTTTGATAATTATTTACCTCAATCAAAATCCTTTGATTATCGTCCTTTACGTACTAAAATTCAACGTGAACATAAAATTACACCACGTTTACTTGTTGAGGAGTGGGATAATCCTCAACAATCTTCATCTACTAATTATAATCAACAAATGAGTACTTCATCAACAGATGAAGTTTTTATAAATAATAAGCCAACGAACAAGACTTCACCTTGAGATATATATATATATTCATTAAGAAGAAAAAAAAAGATTTTGTTTTTTTCTTTCGACATGACCTATTATTTTTCTTTTGACGTTCTTACAGTTATTGAGACAGTTTGTCGTACATGATGTTGTTTTTTTTATTTCTCTATATTTGATGATCGTTATATCCATTATTTTTTTTTCTCAAGCAGAATAGATGTAAACATGGTTTTTTTTCTTCTCTTCATTTATTTATGTTTTTCGTTGTCACGATAGATTATAATCAATCATAAATCAACATAGTGTATGAACATAGTCAACTACCTCATTGAGATAGATATGGACTTTAGATAAGAAGAAAAAATAAAATACGTATTTGATTGATCACGTATATGACATTAAGGTTATTAAAAATGATTATACAATTTATAAATCATCATTAAATTGCTATGAGGAAAAATATTTTTCAAGCAAAAGAAAAATATATTAAATAAATAATTAATATAATGACTCTCAAAAATTATTCGATTAAGTTTAGTTTAGTTGTTTTTTTTTATCGTTAAGAAGAATCAAAATAGTAATTTGAATAGAGAATTTTATTTTCTAACAAGAATTTTTTAAAGATAAAAATAATCGTTAGTCTTTCAAAGATAGGATTTATGAAAAATACCAAACTCAAGTTTTTTAGCTCATAGAATTTGTAATCACAATATTGTTTGAATTATTTGTTGAGTAAGTTGTAACTTTTCTAGTATCTTCTATCTTGAGATATTCAATATTAGAAACTCTCCCGTGTATAAAAGCTAATTTTATGTATATATTTATATCTGAAGAAAGAAAATATTACAAAAGCTAAAACTTATCCAATGAACTAAATTCATAAAAAAACTTTCTTCATGTAAAAGTTTGAAAATCAAAACTCAAAAGTCAATTTTCCACGCAACCTGAGGAAGAACATAGTTTTTTGTTGAAAAAAGTCAGTGTGTATTTCCATATCTGAAAAACGAAGGTCAATAAAACTAAACCATTCTAGACTTTTCTATTAATCACTAACACTCATCAAATGAATGTCGTCTCGGTTGAAAATCGATCTAACACCTGGAGAGATTCCCTTGGAAGATAAATCAAGTTTATGGAAGAGATAGAAATGAAGTTTCCATATGAAGTAACAGAAAAAAAAAACGTCATAGACAGCTGGAATGTATTACATTCTTTAGAAAATGATTTGCTCTATCATTATAGATAATATAGAGAGTATTGTGATTGCAGATTCTAGAAATTGAAAACTTGGTTTTAGTTTTTTCAGAAATTCTATTTTCCGAAAACTATCAATCATTTTTCTTTTCAAACCAGCATAGCCCATTTGGGATTAAACTGTAAAACACGATGTGGCTGCTGTTGTCAATCACAGTAAGATTATTTTATTCGAGATATTCTACGACACTTTTTCATTCACCACTGTTCCTTGATCTTTCATAAATGCAATTACCATAACGAGGTGCTATTTATATACAGTCTACGATCGTATATCAACAACGTCTGTCATAGTTTCCTATTAGTGTCTATCACAGTATGTGGGTGCGAGTGTAAATTTCTACCCTATATATCTCAAGACTCCTTTTAGATCGTGTTTCATAAAGTTCTTGTTGAAAATAAAATTCTTTACTCAAATCACTTTTTCAATTTTTCTTAGCGTTGATGACAACACGAAAAAAAATTAAAAATAAACTCAGTTAAATAATTTTGGGGGATATTGTTTGTAAAAGATCAATAAAATATGGTTATTATGATTGTAAAGATATAAATATAATAGAATTTATTAATTTTCAGAATTTCGATGGCATGTTAAAAAACCGAATCGTAAGTAGTTTTTTAAATATGTATAATAACGAATACAAATAGAAAGGAAATAATTCTATAGAAAATTTACATGATTTTAACACTAATCGTTTTCATTATACATCATTTTTTTCGAACTTTTATCATAAACGTAAGTTGTATTTATGTAGAAAATCGAATAAGATTAATGTTTTAATATACTCACAAATTTTAGTTTTTAATGAAAGTTTTTTAAATGAAAAAAAAGATATTTCTTTTTTCTATTTTTCTAGAAAAACAAAATAATGATACTAATGGACATATTGAACCACAGGTATGTACGATGAATAAGATTTATGTGTTCAATCAATTTCTTTTTTTGTCTTTTCAATTTTTAGGATTGGATAAATCGTCATGATTTTATTGATGCAAATCAACAAAAACCAGAAAATAAAATTCAAATGTAAGTTAATATATTTGAACTAAGTATTGTTTTTGATTTAGTTTTGTTAATTTTTAAAGACGATTAAAATTTCAACCTATTTTTAAAGCACTTGCACTTCATAGTTTTTATGCACAGACCAGCAGGTAGAGTTTAGTTTTTGTTTTATATAATTTCTTTTAAATATATAAAATTTTATTTATTTGTTTGTTTTGTTTTTAAAGAGAATTGTCTTTTAAAAAAGGCGATATACTTCTTGTCCTAAGGCGTATTAATGATGATTGGCTTGAAGGTGAATATCAAGGTTCAATCGGTATATTTCCACTTAATCATGTTGAATTATTTCCAATTGAAATCAATAAACAAGATGATTATTTAAATGAATATGAATATGACTATGATATTGAAGGTGAAGCTATTGTGAAATATGATTTTATACCACAACAAACATTTGAGTTACAATTACGAAAGGTCAGAAATGTAATTCTATAATAAACTACTATCAAGATTAATTTATCTAGGGTGATAAAGTAATTCTATTACGAAAAATTGATAATTATTGGTATGAAGGACGTCTCAATCATATTGAAGGCATTTTTCCTGCAGCTTATGTTGAAACATTAAAAGAACCAGCAGGTAAAAAAAAAGACAAAGCAATTTTACTCTATGATAATGATGAATTCTATTTTGATTCAATGATTAAATGTCTCGAATAGGACACACATAAAGACTGGACATCTATTGAGACAATTCTCAATAGCGTATCCAACTAAGACCTTGGGATATACTAATAACAGAATATCGAAAAAAAAGAATTTTTTCAGAGTCAATGTTTGGAACTATATCATTAAAGTAGTCAAGCACTTTTACTCTTACATAGCAAGATGTAGTTACTTCAAATGTCAAGTAATGAATAAAAATACACTAATTTATAGATTCATAAATAGGTTTCAAGAGTAAAAGAATCAGAGAGAAATTCTCATTTATGAATAGCACAGAAGCGAGTATATAGTAGTTTCAAAAATTGATCGTACAAATTTTATTTTGATTCTTTTTCATCATGATAACTTACATAAAGAATCTAAATAAATATTAAAAAATCCAAAACTAGTTTTTTCGGCATTTTCTCAACAGAAACTGGATAAAAAAGACTTTTGAGCTTCTCTTAAAATTGATGTAATTCAATCAAAAATATATTGTGGAATAGTAGAAGACATGTGGTTTTGTAGAGAATTACTCTATCGTTTCATGTAATCGAAAAACGTCTTTATTTTTGGGCTCTAAGAACTAAACCAAAACTAGAGTTTGATGTTTTCTAGAGATATTGAATATATGGAATATTACGAAAATTTTATTTCTCTCAAAATCTTGTTGAAAACAATTTTCTCTTATTAAAACCACTATTTTAATTCTTTACACAAGTTACTACTACGGAAAAAAACCGAACTTAAACTTATACGAACACTTTTTGGAATCGCTATATAGGTCGGTCAAAAAAAGAATTTTGGACTCGGAAAAATATGACTACAGAGTACATATACTAGGGTTGCGTCTATGTCATTACATAACTGTTTTCACTAATATCAATAAACAAAAAAAATTTCAATTCATATTTTAACAAAGCATTTCAAGTCTTAATGCAAAATATTTATTGTCTAGATATTTTCTCAAAAAAATCTCATCAAAATGAACGTGCTCAAATATCAAAACAAAATTCTCCTGATTTAGAAGAACCATCTGTTGAACAAATAAGTATTATTCCAGACTTATCATTACCACCTATGCGAAAGTAAATTTAATTTTATATCTAATTACTATTTATGATGAATTTTGATTTGAATATTTTTATCTTTTGTTGTATTTTAAGATGTCAAGTACTTTATGATTATACACCACAAAATCCAGATGAACTTGAAATTCATGTTGGAGATATAATTAATATAATTGAAATGTGTGATGATGGTTGGTATTGTGGAATGATGGAAAAATCAAATCATGATAATAAAATGAAATTTGGAACATTTCCAGGAAATTATGTTAAATTATTATCTTAATAAAGAATGATTATACAGTGAAAATTTCTTTAACAGTGATCTCCATCGTGCTTTATCTATTTTTTCTTTTATACGTTGACGGCAATATCTATTTGTATATTTCTAGTCAATGGTTTTCTTTTTTTCTTGTTTTTTTTTTTTTCTAAAATATAAAACTATATTATCTTCATTCAGTTTTCTTTTGTTGGTTTGTTGGCTTTTTATTTGTTACAGTAAAAATTAAAATTCTTAGAAGTAAATAGATGAATAAATAACTATTCATTTTACAAAAAATGATTCGCAAAACAACTATAGATTTTTGTGTCTTTGACAACTAAGTTTATTATTTGATGATTTGAACAATGATCATGAAGACAAATACATGCAGTACAGAATGTTTAATTGCTGAATTTGTTTGTGTCGTTGTTCGACTTGTTGTTGTAGTGGAGGTAATTTTAATCGGTGTAGTACGAATAGTATCACTTGTCATAGTGATTTCGATTATTGAAGAATTTTCAGTAACATTAGTATCATTTAAATCGATGGTAGTTGCTTCATAAATATTTGTAGATGTTTCATCAGTAAATGAACCTGCTTTATCAAGAATAGCTGCAGTTTCATCCGACTTTGAATTAGTTTTAATAGTTTCGTCAACACCTGTTGCAAATGATGTTATAAATAGAAACAAAATAAATGTCTCCAAACAAACTTGATAGCACATTGTTATAACCTAAATAAAATTTCGAAAACAATACAATGATTCATATATTGATAATTAGACGGTTTCGAAATGCTTAATTTTTGAAGGGATTTTAACTGATTGAACGATTGCATTCGATGATTATAGCCTTTGTCGAAGATTGTTCGGTTCAAATGTTTTTTTTAATTGATCGAAAAGATAAAAACTTAAATCTTGTTCTAGGCTAACTAATTTTTGAAACCAAATTTGCTCCTGAAATAATTTAACATAAAAATACTACTCGATAAGTGTTTATCAATCTTAATTGCTGAATAATGTATTCCTTTGAATCATCAAAAGAATCTATTTATATGTCTTTAATAGTATCGAATCCGACGATTTTAGCCAATATGATATCAATATATTTTTTAAAGCACTGATTATCAAATTTCTTCTTTTTATTGATTCCAAAGATGTATACAGATGAGAATTTAGTTAACGATTTATAAATCCACACTCGAATATTTAAATTACAGCCAAATAAATCAATACGAAATATTACATCAAACAAATTTATACAAAATCAAGCGTAGTGATTAACTACTTACTTCAATTGATGCCTGTTGTTAAAATAAAACAAAAGTTTGAATCTGTTCTAAGCAATAATGAAAAATATTCTGACGTTAATATAGGCACCTGACAACATGCTAACACGTTCGTTTATTATATTTAGCCGTTTTTTTTCTCATTTTCCTCGATAATAGCAGTAAAAATTGCCTTTTTTTCAGGCATGCATATATTTACCAACAATAAAAATAATAACCTTGTTTTTTGCTCAATATTTTATGTGAAATATCAGTAAATACATAATCAAAATGATTCATGAGACATCATAAATCTACTATGAGATTTTTAATTTATTATTACCATTGACACAATTCTGTTACAACAAGAAAAAAGATATGATTTAGTCAACATGAATAAATTGAGTTCTAGTTGTTTTTTTTTGCACATACATCGATCAGAATCTTAACGATAGTGATTGACAAAAGAGCAAAAAAAAGCTTTTAAATACTTAAAAAAAGTGAAATAAAATGTTTTTTATTTTGTTAAGTAGCTGAATATGCATATACGCGTGCACAATAACATTCAAAAATAGATTAATCAAACAAATCTGAAGGATGTACACCAAGAACACCTACAGCCAATAGACAGGATGATGGATAAAAATGAATCAAAGCAAATTTTTTTAACACATGTTTTTTTTTTCTTTCTTCAAAATCATCTAATACTCTTATAATAGATTATATATATTTATGGATATATTCAAAAGTTTGTCTTACATTCATTTGAGATTTATTGATTTTTTTGAAACGAACATTACTTCAATCTGAAAGCAGTAAAAAGAACTGTGTTGGTGAAAATTTGTTACGCATCATCGTAGATCATTATAAATGATTACGACAATGAGAGATTCGTTAAATAGTATGTTTGAAATGCAATTTTTCTTTTTTTTATCTTTATAAAATTTGTTGAAATAATAGATATGGATTCAGTACCAACATTTGATCCTGTAACTATGGATAAACCATTAAAATCATCATTTTCAACAGTGTCTCATAATTTACCTGATATATTACCAGCACCAGTAACACATAAACATCACCCCCAAAAACGTGTTCGATTTGCATTAAAATTAGATTCTGTTGAAGAAGAATCATCATCATCAAGTCGAGAAATTTTACCTTCAGCAACATCACAATTAAATAAGAGAGTTATTGATCCTTGGCGACAACATAGATCACTCTATGGCGCTTATTTTGAATATTTAGAAAAACAAGATAGATTACAAAATAATGAAACTGAAATGCGTCGTGTACCACCACCCGTGCCACCACCACCACCTGAACCTGGTGCTGAACCACCGACATATACACATACATTTGTAATACAAAGTAAATCACCAGATCTTGTTATTGATTCAATTACAATATCGACGCCACCACTTCATTTACCTCGTATTATTCATCGAAGCAAAAAACCTATAGAACAACAATCAACAACAATCGATTCTTTTGTTAAACAACAATTAAAAATATCAACTCTTCCACGTATGGCATATACAAAAAAAGTAACAAGTTCACCTAATCAAAAAAATCATGATGCATCTGTAAATACAGCTCTAAAGCGAGCTGAAGTAAATATGCCGTCAACAAATGGATTACAATCAAATGATAGAATTGTTCGACCAGATAATTCATTTGGATCGAAATATGTTAATGAACATGTTCAAACTAGAAAAATGACTGAAACTTTTACGAAACCATTATCAGTTGCAACTAATCAAAAATATCATTTTTCTGAACGATCTATTTTACCAAATTATTCAAGACAACCAGCAGTGCCAAATCATACTCTTCGTACATATGATAAACAAAATATGAAAGCATGTCATTTTTTTGAAAATCATGATAATGATTATCTTTTTCAACCAATTATTCATTCAACTCATTGACTACTACATTTATTTTATGCATATAGACAAGGAAGAGAGAAATATCTTTTTGCAAATCAATATATTTTTTTATCCCAATAATGATATTTTTTTTATTTTGCTTTATTTCAACAAACTGTTTGTATTTATTTTTTTAATATTATCATAAACTAAATGAAATAATTGTCCTACTAAGTTTTGTTTTTCAATAACTATATCATTTTCTTTTATATCAGTTATTATTCCATTTGATACAGACATTTCTATTGGTTGTTTCTTATTTTCAATTGTATAAACAAATGGTGGAGTGGCTTGATAGAGAAATTTCTCTGATTTAAGTTCATTTTCAAAATTTTTTAGTTGTTCATAATATAATAATGGATCAATATAATCATAATTAGAAGTATTTTTCTCATTGTTCCATTCAAAAAATTTTTTTATTAATAATTCAATAGTTTTATCGTAAGTTATTGAATTATTTCTATCTGATAAATTTAATACAGATGATCGTACACTTGATGTTGCTTTACTTGTTATATTCATTTGATCATTGGATTTTAATGATCGTCTTAATTCATTTAAATAAGCATTTATAAGTAAAGTAAAATGATGATATGCATATAAACGTTCAAGACGTGATGCACTACCAGTTACTTTATACGTATCAAGAAATATATCATCACGATCGGTGACATATAATGTTAAATTAAATGCTTTATTTAATGTCTCAACAATCCATTGGAGATTTTTTTTACGATTATAATCTTCACGTGTTGTTAAAATTGTTATATTTAGATTTCCTAGAGAATTATTTGGTTATTAAATTAGTATGCTTTGTAAGAGAAAGAGAGAGATTTGTTCACCTACCAAGATCATGATAACATGTTCCTATTGAATAAAATAAAAGAGAATTTTGAAAATTAACTTAACGAATATTTACCACCACCAGAATAACGTCTTGCTAAATCAATTTGTTTTTCAGCTAAATATTTAATATCACATTCAATAAAAGGATTTTGATATCGACCGATAACAACACATGGTTTATTACGCCATAGTAATAGAAGTCGAGTTTTTGGTTGATGTTTAATATTTTCAGCTAAATAACGTTCCAGTGCTAAATTAGTATAAACATTCGTTGATCTTGATATAAGAACACGATTGCCACCACGTAGAATTGATTGCATTTTGTAGAAAAACCAAAAGAACACATTTGGCATAATGTATGATTCATTACTCAGATTTTATTGGCTAATACATTGAGCCAAGATAAGATAGGCGCTAACGTTCGGTGAAAAATATAAAAATGTGTTAAAAATTTTTAGGTGCATTATAGAGATTACTCAACGACTATAAGTATCAACCGATATAACGTCAGGGGTGGCCTGATTCATGGGAAAGAGGTGTTGGCAATGTGACTTCCCGTCACCAGTGTTGACTGCCTGGAACCATGTCTGTATAATATGAATAGATACGAAGATAAGTAATCAATTGCATTCATGAGCATTAAAGAAACTGAATTTTAGATCATATTGAAATATGATCTTTATATATATGATCGATAGTCAGCGATTTTCTGTTCTTTTTATTCTCTTTGAAGTGTCGAATGTAAGAATAGATAAGTCCTACAGCAGTTTTCTACGTAATTTTCTCAAAACTAAATATTACTATTCAAAGATATAGTTTCTAATGAACGACTCGCAAAATCTGGCATGCTAATTTTTTCAATGATTCGACGATGTGACAGACTAACTAAGAAACTTCAGAAAAAGATTATTAAGGCTTTATTAGAGATTGTCTAGTTTTTTAACTTATGCCGAAATTTGTTCGATTTCAAAAGCCCAAATTAATTACTGCATCTAATCAACAACTGATTCATTTTCAACGACATTATTTGCAATAGAAATTAAAGGAATATTATAAACAGAGTTAAAAACTGCCAAAAAAATAGAATCCATTTTTCAAGAGCTTGAAGAAAAATTAAATAATAATGACTCTTTAAAAATTAAGCAGTTTCTGTCTGATGTTGCAAGCGCAAAACACTCAGATATTGTTATTATGTATAGACCGAAATCAGAAAAATTAATCAATGAACCGATCAGCTTAATAGTGTGATAATACAACGCGATTCGTCTATTTTTACTAATTTTGAAATGTAATATACGCTTAACACGAAAAAAGGAAAAATCGCGTGACCATGTCATGTGGTAGGGGTGGTTGTTTTCTATCTTTTCGTATGTTCATTCACTGTTTAAATTAATGCCTCGAAAAAAAATCAATAATGATGTGGAGGGGCGTATTTTGGCTCTTTTGCAGGTGAAATACTTCCAGCCATAAATAGTTAAAATTTTGAAACAAGATGGAATCAGTATATTTCAAAAACTGTATCTAATGTTAAACGAAAAATTGGCCGTCAACGTAATTCTATTGAAAAAATCAAATTCTCTCGAAAACGACCAGTGTCAACACCATCGATTATATCAGAAGTAATTCAAACAATTGACATCGAGGAGGGTGTGGGTTAATACAATAATTGCATCCATATTCACACCCATACCCCGAAATATTTTGTTTAACAAGAGAATAATAAGCTGACCAATAGACTCTTAAGAAACTCTAAAGAAAAGTATTAGATAGAATGAAAAATGCCATTATCTATTCGGTGGTCAAACAGATTGAACTAATTCAGAGTAAATTAAGAAACATAATTAACTTTTTTATTTAGCAATACAAATTCTATCAGTTAGTTTGCTTTGAATTAGTCTAGTCAACATGGCGACATCGATATTTATTCTTTATTGTTCTTATAGACTACTATTAGAAATATATATATATCGATTGACATGAATACATTGAGTGAATTAGATATGAACAATTCAAATAACCATCATCTTAATATACTCGATTTATCCAATGAAATTTTATTTATCATTTTTCAAAAACTCAATATGGTTGATGTTCTCTATTCATTTGTGGATGTTAATCAACGATTTAATCGATTAACATTTGATTCTCTTTATATTCATGATGTTACTATGACTACTATTATGGACACCACTTCATTGTACGATCAACTTCTTTAATAGGTCGTAAAGTTCTTTCAAAAATTTATGAAAAAACCTTGCCTCGAATTCATGATCAAATATGTAAACTTACTGTTGAAGAATATTCAATGAACCAAATTCTTCTTGCTTCGAATTATTCTCAACTATATTGATTATCACTTATAAATTTTCAAAAAGAAGTACTTTATCAATATTTAACAGGTATAGTATTTAATTTTGTTCATTAGAATTAAAAATATAAATTAATAATTATTGTTTTATATTTTTAAATTAAAGATAATTTAATTCTTCGTGATCTTCCCAAACAAATAACACATCTTAATATTGATATTAAAGAGACAACAGAATATTGCTCGAAAATTAGTTCAAAGATTTTTGCATGAATCTTATCTTTATGTAAAAAATTAGTTGTTTTGAATTTTGGTGATATGTTTCCTACACGAAATTATTCATCTCCTCTTTATTATTTGCTCAGGAAAAGTTGTATACCATCAACTTTAATTAAATTAAAAATCAATGTTTTAACTTTAATTGATTATCTTTATCTGCTTGATGGACCTCTCGTTTGTTTATCTACATTAATTATTAATGTATCATTTACTTTTTGTCTATTAGAATGCATAAATTCAACAGTATGCATTATTTCAATGATCATATTTAGGAAAATAAAGACATAAATAAATAAATCAAATAAGTATTCTTATTAATTTTATTTTCTTTATAGAAAAAACTTTCTAAACTGAAGTATTTTTCGTTTATCGCATGTAATCTCACAGTTGATTATGATGATTTAATTGTTCTATTACTTTGTCGAACGATAAAACTTGAAAAATTGAAATTATATTTATCAGTAAGAAGATCTGATCCGACTTATATTGATGATATTCAATTATATGATCAATTTCTTATTTATATGACACAATTAAAGAAGTTTACATTCAATATTAAAACAGTGCTCTACTTTAGGATCGTTAGAGTTGAGCTTCAATCTGATAAAGAAAGATATTCAATATAGTTTCATTGGAAGAGGATATCAACAAGTAGCGTCATATGTTCATCCTAAAGCATTTCTATGCAATGGTGAATGCCATATCTATTCACTTCCGTATGACTTCGAATATTTTGTTGACCTCGACAATTCTTTTCAAGGTAGTATATTTCATAAAGTTCGACAATTAAAAATAAATGATACAATTTCTTTTGAAGATCAATTATTTAAGTTTATCTCTCAAGACTTTCCTTTTCTCGAATTTATATAAATATATAATGATTATCCGCAAAAAGACAATCAACATTCATTAACATTAATCACATTTCCTTATCTCAAATTTCTTGGTCTAAAATGGGCACATGTCGATTCTGCTAAACTATTTCTTTAAAAAGAATCATGCATTTATCTCGTTTGTCAACTCTCTCCATGGAATATAAATCACTCATAACGATAATAAACAATTTTATTAGTGATGCAACGCATTTTAATTTTGGTAAATTGAAAAGTCTTGATGTGGGTCAATCTTTTGTTCGTCGAGAAAATTTTCATCAATATTTTCCTTTGTTATAAATGGTTTCAATAAAAGAAAACAAATGGAGAAAATTAAATATTTTTCATTTATACTATACAGCAACAAAGAGCACAAGGATAGTTAGATGGTATTCACACTTCACTCTATTTTGAAATGTGATGTGAAGCGGTTCAAACATCTACTAACGAGAAATTGTATGAAACGCATAATCATATTTACGATTGAATATGAAATATTTTTTTCCGAGTAGTATATCTATTTTATTTTATTGAGTTCTTTTTCCTATCAGTGTAGTAAGAAATATTAGATATCGATCTGAAAGTCGAACTAGAAAACTAATTAGATATTAGGATATACATTACTATGAGAACTTTATCAATAGATATCAACTCATTTCTAAAGAGCATGATCGATGGATCCTTTTAACCAGAGT